ATGCGATACAGAATTGGCCTGCCTAATCAATTTCCTAAGCTGCTAGAAGCAATGACAGTGCAATTTGTCGTGTAAATCCGGGGAAAAGCGCCATTATTATTATTTTGAAAGAAATGACAGGTTCTGAATTTCAGTTCTAAGTTAATTAAGGCGATCGCAATATTTCCTCGCATGCATGCTAATTAGCATTTTTCTTAACAGCTTAAATAAAGATGTTTGTCATATAAGTATTTGCAGGCTAGAGGAAATATTGAAATGAATTAACCGTTCATCCGAAACTTTGTCTACGAATTCGTATTCACTCCTGTTGCTTCATATTATTCGTTGGCCATCAATGGCATCTCACTTCATTTGCCTCAATCACATGCACTTGGTAATTACTGATGCTCACTTTCTACTACAGACCCACCTGATAATTTTAATTCCACTTACAAGCATCAATCTATAAACTGGCTTGAGTACAGAACGATGTTTCGGATACGAGAAATTAGTGAGTCGTCTCGAGTTCCCAATCAATATACACCTCGAGTGACGACCGTCATCGGCAACCTGTTGTTATTGCTGCGCTGCGCCACACCCCATATTCCAGTGCCATTTTCCGCCGCCACAGCTGGTCTCATTGCAACCTGTTAAATTTCTGGTGCAGCTCATCATTCGCGCTTAGGTCATGACCGAAGTTCTCTTAATTTATGGTCCATGGTCATTCTGCTGGAATGTGTTTACGAAGCCAAAACAACGTGTGCAATGACTCAAAAAAATTACTTCACATACATCAACGATCCATTGAACTACACAGGAATGCGATATATGAATCATTCGAGACTAAGTTCAAGGAATATTTCTTTGCATGCTATTATTCGACTTAAAATTCTAATTTATATTCGCCAGAGAGTGATAAAGTTTTTTCTTACGGTACTTTTCGCAAAGTAGTAAGCATCAGTGCAAGAATGGAAGAGTATGGGTATGGTGATGAATTCAGCACGTGATACGTGAGTACAATTTGATTATGCAAGAAGGGAAGCCATGCCGGAATGATCTTGTATATTTATTGTTCCTGCCGGTTACTCATGCGTTTTGTCTGTCTGATTGTGACTGCTTCCAAGATTTTTTTGACTTTCCTGCAGACAATGTTACTGGTATCCCAATGTATGACACGCTGATCTGCATGCTGTTCTCCGTATGACAGAAGTTTTCTCATCAGCTCCGATCAGAGAGTTCACGTCTTCACCATTATAATTTTTCAATTTTGTACTGATTTCTTAAATGTACGTTTCCCTTAGAAAAGGCTCTATTTGGAAGTGCCCCTCAGTTTACCAGCTACTGATGCTTGTAACAGAAGTAAACCCTTGCCGCTCCATAAATTCTACCAAATTGTGCATGAATTGCAGCAACAAGGGATTAAAGAAAAAAATTTTATGGCTAGCAATGATATCAATAGTTGTTTACCATCTTTCCTGCATAAGCATTATATCCCACTGGTACTCCGGATATGTTAAATAACGAACGACTCCTCCAAGATCAGATCTCACGAGCGTATTTCATTGCTCCATTGCTCATTGTTACCAAGGTGGGTGACTTAAGCGGGTTACGGCTCCAGAGTATTTGAACGCCTGCACTGCCAGGCCCATCTCGCAAGGTTTTCCCTCCATCAAGAATGAGGCGAAACGTATATTAGGATTGGGATTAAGCCTCGGTTTTAGCTCACACTTAAGGATAAAAATAATTTCCATATTATGCATATGCTTAGTCTCATACGTAGGAATGGGTTGATATTGCTTACTTTATTTGAAGTTTTGCCATAGGCCTGCGCCATGGCTTAAGCTTAGACTTAATCATGACAGTATGCACCGGTTCAGTTATAGTCTTCACCTGAGGCTCAAGCATACTCTTAAGCTTATGCTTGGCATTACGCTAAGGCTCAGGGTTCAACTTAGCCGTATCCTCAACCTTAGACTCAAGCAAAGATGTACTTTTAGTCAGACAAAAGCGTAAGCTCAACTGAAATCTATTGCATTTCTTTGATGAAAAAATGATCTTCTTGTAGAGTCACCAGGCATCAAATGTGCTGAAAAGTTAACAACACAAATTACCTGTTCAGTTCTAAAAAAGAACAAAGATGTTAATAATCGCAGAGTAGAATAAACAGTAATCCTGTCAAGATCAAACCAGCCTTTGACGTAAAACTGTCTCTAGTAAATAGGCGGAAATAAAAAGTCAAATGTTACTCACGAAGGATCTTATATTAATTACCTGAATTTTTTTCTGAGAGTGGAGAGTCTTTTTCTGCATGGTCTTCTAAGAGATTACTCTGCATTTGTATCGTACTCATGACCGCACGTAGGATTCGGACATAACTAGGTCCAATGTTGAAGGTATTAACTCTTGCTCAATCGTCAGTGAATCAGGTATCCTGGGGATGAATCGAAAATAATCAGTAATGCACAGTGAATTTAACAATTGTGGAATGAAACCCTCTGCAAATTATTGTGGCAAAGGGCTTAAAAAAGTCAGGTATAAGTTTAAATGTCTGATTCTGGTGTAAGGTCTTCAGCGATATCGATCAATAAAATATCAGACATACTAAGAATGCTTATTAGCTAAAGACATCCATCAAGAGTGCATTTAATTTTGCTGCGTACTAACTATTAAGCAAATAGGTATTGTGAAATTAGACCATAAAAGTTTGTGGATACTTCCGAAATTAGTATTCGAAGACGAAATGATGGTTCGGAAAAAAACGTAGATATTGTACAAGGGGGATAAGGATGATGCATGTCAGTTAATCGCATAATTTACAAATGCAGCAAAACATATAAGTGACCGATGCACGTTGGCGGTCAATTAATCGCATAGCAGTCGCTTAGCATCTATGCTTAGCAAACGAATTGCTAGCGTTCGTTTTTTGGAAGCAGCACTGATTCACAGACATGTCATGTTTTACGTGCAAGCGACATTTACGATTTATTTCCTTTACTTTTGAGGATTAACCTCCAATTCTACTGCAAAACACCGACGGTCCGTAACGATTCGCCAGTGCGATACCTGCGAGGCATGTTGACGCTTCGCCTATAGCAGGTCATTCATTGAACCTGCGATAACGGGACCGAAATGCCGCGACGGTAGACGTTGCCAAGAAGCTGGAAAGCGTCAGAGTAAATTTTGTGGCGGTGAGGTCTTACGAGACGTAATCAGGGCGAAAAGTGTCACAAAGTATCACGAAGCGAAGTACCGCCGAAAGAAAAGCGGTGCTCCTGTCAGAGTGAAATCGATTTTTGCCGTTTGTCACCACCTCCGCCGCCACATTGCCTTTGCGTCTACGTCTTTCTCTGTTTGGTGGTGTTGGATATACGAGGAATACACCTAGGAGATGTCCTTAAAGCCTCTCTGGTGGGTGACAGATCGACCGACAAAACCGTGCCTCAAGAGGTCCCCGACCTGTTGCTGCTAGCCTGACATAGGCGGCGCTTTAGTCGACGGCATGGTCGTTGTTGATTGGCCAGAGGGTCAATAGCACGGCAGCAATTATCGATGTATTGCGACAGTCAGTGTACGCGCTTTCGAGTCGAGGAGGGAATCCCTTCATGAAGAGTAGCTAGCGGTGGTGGTGTGGCGTCGTGTGTTCTATTGATTCGAGTCAAGCGGAGTCGACGACGGTCTGCCAGCATAGGCGGTGAATCGATGAGTGCTGACCCTCGGTCCTTGCTCTCCTCCTGTTCGTTGTGACAGAGAGAGGCTGAAGCACAGACAGACTCCGCAAAGAGACAACAAGGCTGTCGTCGGCTGGTG